CACTTGACTATCTATAAAGTATTTGTTCAGTATTGCAGAGAAGCAGCTAATTGGCTTTCACAGGTTACTTCCAGTTCACAAATGGCTCATATCACAGAGAACGTGAAAGGTCAGAAAATAATCAGTACCTTTAGTAAATAGGAAAACCCACTCTCGTAAGTACTGAGGCAGGAAGAACTTTTGCAACAAAATCTTGAGTTGGAACAAGATCTAATTGAATTTTTTTATATCCAAGTGATATACCCCACTTTTGGCACAGGGGTTGGACTAGATGATCCCCAGAAGTCCCTTCCAACCCAAAAGATTCTCTGATTCTGTGAGAAAATCTGGACTGTGGATTTGTCTGTGTTTTGCTTTGCTTTCAGAAGGGACATGAAGCCCCTTTGTTTTCCTCTCTTATTTGCTCTCTATGAGGAGCGGACATTTTTCTCTATYCCTGCAAACATCTATATTTATTCCATTACAGCAGGTTTGCCAGATGCCTTTTAATTTATTACATCTGTCACCTACTAACGTGCCATTTATCAGCTGACATCTTCAAAACTGCGTGCTGGGGATGGGCTGTCGTTCATCATTGAATCTGGTAAAGAAGCCATAGTTGTGCAGCTTTCCAGCTACCCGCTGCCCAGGTAAAACCTGAAAACCTCAGTGGGCCCCCCACACACCGTGAGCCGCGCTGAGGAGCTTGTGGGGGGCAGTGTARACTGTGAGTGTCTGTGGCTCACAGTGCATAGAAGTGAGCCCAGATACCCTTAATGAGCATTGCACATTGCAGACAGGATGTGTCCATCTCATGTGTGGTTCTTGGAAAGGTGGCCCCACTCTTTTCCTCCAGTCACACTCACTGCTTGCAAATCTCCTTCTTCTTGAGTTGTAGTTTAGTAGTATGAAGCCAGTCAAGGCTGGCTTTATCTCCACCCTAAAATTCTCAGTGATTTCACTCCTATCCATTTCTAAACTGATGCAGTTAAACCACTGAAACTCCAGCGGGAACACTTTGGTTGATATTTGGTCAGCCCATCCAGATTCCCACCTGATTAAAGCTACACTAAATAAAGCATAGCACAAAACTTTGCTAAGAGAATGCAATTGGAGCTTGCTCTTCTTCAACTAAAGTGGTTTAGTAGGCTACAATTGTTCATTCATGGGAAAAAATGCAACATATTCCTAAGTACGCTCACAGTGGAGAGCTGCAAAAACATTTTGTCTCTCATCCTTAGTCTCTCATTAAGGGCTGCACACTGATTATTTATTTATTTCTAATTTAGCAACAGCAGTAACACAAATTGCCTCCTTGACCCGAGGTAGCTGCCAAATGTTTAGTTCAGAACCAATTTCAGTGCTACTGTAATCCCCTGAACTGGAGAGCTGGAGCAGAAGCAAAGCTGAGCCAACCTGAAACTGTAGCAGCGCAAATGGCGCCAATCTAATTAATTTATGAAAAACTGTCCCTCTGGAGATGACTCTCCTGCAGCTCACAAGCAAAAGGTGGAGAACATGTGAATCTGGCCACAAGCCCCAACTGTTGACAGCCCAACTTACAAAGCATCTGTATACATGCCCTTCGGGAAGAAAGATAAGTGGTACTCTGGGGAACCACATATTTGTTTAACTCTTTGTTCTGTACTTGTCCAGGCAAAGAGAAAATGTTTCATATTATGCTGAATACCATCTCAGATTCTGGCAGGATTACTTGTCAATATTATTACAGCCTCTTCAGTTACAGTGCTTCAGCAATAAAGTAGTTAGACTGGCTTTGAAATACAGAAATTTAGGCAATACAATCACACTGTGAAAGAGTGCTCATTAGCCTTTGGCTGACCTTGAAAAATTGCGTTTCTCTCCAATTCTTCCACAAATTGCCTTTAAGGAGACCTCCTTAGTTCTATCAAGTCACAAGGTTCCACTGTGTGACTCATGTTTTTTAGCCACTCTCTCACGATCAGAGGGCATGCTTGCCTTTTACACGCAGCCACAATTGCTACAAGGAGGATACATAAAAATGCTCCAACAGTCTTTTAATAGGGACATATTCTTATTTGTTTTGGTTTTTGTTTTCCAACCTCAAAGTTTCATAATGAAAACAGTTGGTCTTATAAAAAGTGTCACTCATCAACTCAAATTTTATGTCTAGGTCACCGTAAGGACTTTGTCAGATTGTGACCGAACATGGCCRTAGCTGAGGAAGCTGAATTAAGTGTAATCAGATATGCCTGGGGGCATTAAGCTAGCTCTCAGAGGGATGTGTGCTCTGGYTTGAGACAAATAGCATTGCCACAAGATCTAACTGTTGCTGGACATAGGTCATGAACCATTAGGTCGACCCATATCCTGAATCCATGCCTCTGCTAATAACAGCCCTTGCTGCTTAATGAGAGATCCTCCAGCAAAACATTTGGACAAAGGAGCGGGGAGTGTGGTCCAAGTGCACCTTGCCCAAACACAACAGGTTGTGACACCTCCAGAGAAGGTCTCAGACGTACTGTTTTCAGCAGAACTTGGCACTGGCGTGCAACACCTGACATTATTACCTGCCTTTAGCAAGGCTGGAGCCAAATCTCCTCAGCCATTCTTCTGTTTCTGTTGCACAGCTGATGATGGAGAGGAGCAGCGCCAGAGGTGGGGAAAAGCACTGCCTGAAGGAACTGCAGCTTGAGTGTCCCGACTCACCTAAGTAACTGGAGCCTGTCTGAGGAGTCTGTACCAGCCGGCTCAGAGCATGGTAGCAGACTGATGGTCTACACCTGTAATGCCATGGCCATGGCGCTCCCAGACAGCATCCTTGTTGAGCAGAGCCTTCCCACACTGGCATCCCGCTGCTCAGCTCCCCTCCCRGGAGCAGCGCTGTCAGCATCGCTGCAGGAGCGGTCCCTTTTCCTTGCACCCAGGCGATGTAGCAGCGTGTGCCGGTGGACGAAGCAGCCGCGCAGGTCTAATTCCACCCAAAAGAGGGCAGTGGTGCTTACGGACACACAGACATAGTCAAGGCAGCAGTTTGCTCTGGCTGCTCGACTTTCCCAACCAGCTGACAGAAACTCCCCAGTTCTTGGCACAGGCAGCAGTCCACGGAGCTCTGTCTTTCACACACTCTTAGTTAGCCTCTGCTCTCATTTCCTCCCTTTGACTCATTAGTTGTTTTACCATCATTTCTCTGGAAATACAATGAAAAAGATCACATGGATCCATCCGTGCCAGTGCTGAGTGCCCTGTTCCAGGTGCCTCTGTGTTACCCCTATCTATCAGTCATTYAGCTGCCAGGCAGAACACGCCTTCTGCAGAAGCAGCTTCTCAGACGAACTGCGGCTTGGGTGTAGTCGGGAATGGAAAATTGGATGCACCACAGTTTATGGCAATCAAGCAATGTTCAGAAGCTTGATGTCACAGGAAACCACTGATATTGTGAATAATTCAGAGGAATTTAAAAAATCCCCATTATAACCAAGTGTTTT